CAAACATTCAGAGATCAAGTAATAAGATAAAACTTTTCGACGGTTATAAACGAAAAATCACGATTTAACGGTTATTTTAACTCCGATTTTGATGATTTTTTACAGCTACACTCCTTGACCCTAAACAAATACAATGAATGAATTCGATCTTCTATTTAAAATATTTTCACTAGTGGATACCACAAAATCTTATGTTATACTTGATGAAAGTGTAAATAAACTCTCAAGTGTTAGTGAATCTATCGTTTTGATGTGATATGCATCCTACGAAACTAATTTCAACGATTCAACCGTCAAACTTGTTTATATATGCTTCGAGATCGCATACACCAAAAATTGCAAAAAACAAACATTCAAAGATCAAGTAATGAGACAAAACTTTTTGACGGTTATAAACGAAAAATCACGATTTAACGGTTATTATAACTCCGATTTTGATGATTTTTTACAACTACACTCCTTGACCCTAAATGAATACAATGAATGAATTCGATCTTCAATTTAAAATATTTACACTAGTGGATACCACAAAATCTTATGTTATACTTGATGAAAGTATAAATAAACTCTTAAGTGTTAGTGATTCTATCGTTTTGATGGGATACGCATCCTACGAAACTAATTTCAACGATCCAACCATCAAACTTGTTTATATATGCTTCAAGATCGCATACGCCAAAAATTGCAAAAAAAAAAACATTCAGAGATCAAGTAATAAGACAAAACTTTTCGACGGTTATACATGAAAAATCACGATTTAACGGTTATTTTAACTCCGATTTTGATGTTTTTTTTACAGATACACTCCTTGACCCTAAACAAATACAATAAATGAATTCGATCTTCAATTTAAAATATTTACACTAGTGGATACCACAAAATCTTATGTTATACTTGATGAAAGTATAAATAAACTCTTAAGTGTTAGTGAATTTATCGTTTTGATGTGATACGCATCCTATGAAACTAATTTCAACGATCCAACCGTCAAATTTGTTTATATATTCTTCGAGATCGTATACGCCAAAAATTGAAAAAAACAAACATTCAGAGATCAAGTAATGAGACAAAATTTTTCGATGGTTATAAACAAAAAATCACGATTTAACGGTTATTGTAACTCCGATTTTGATGATTTTTTACAGCTACACTCCTTGACCCTAAATGAATACAATGAATGAATTCGATCTTCAATTTAAAATATTTACATTAGTGGATACCACAAAATCTTATGTTATACTTGATGAAAGTATAAATAAACTCTTTAGTGTTAATGAATCTATCGTTTTGATGGGATACGCATCCTACGAAACTAATTTCAACGATCCAACAGTCAAACTTGTTTATATATGCTTCGAGATCGCATACGCCAAAAATTGCAAAAAAAAAAAACATTCAAAGATCAAGTAATGAGACAAAACTTTTCGACGGTTATAAACGAAAAAGTACGATTCAACGGTTATTTTAACTCCGATTTTAATGATTTTTTACAGCTACACTCATTGACCCTATATGAATACAATGAATTAATTCGATCTTCAATTTAAAATATTTACACTAGTGGATACCATAAAATCTTATGTTATACTTGATGAAAGTATAAATAAGTGTAGATTTTTAAAACCCTCCAAATCTCATGAACAATGTTATTTATTTGAGTGAAAAATTAATAATAATAAGTGTGAAAAATGTAATCACTCGTAATGAAAAGCTTTACAACTTTCATTAAGGGGTCAACTCCGAAATTTAGTATGTATATACTAATTTAATATTATGGTTTACATTTTTTTGGGTCAAATTATGTTTTTCTTTTCATTTTTATTGATTTAAAATATAATATTCTTAACGGGTAACGGGTCGGGTCATATTACCTGATAATATTAACGGGTTGATTTCGGGTCGGGTCATATTACCCGTTTACTTTAACAGGTATTACACGACACAACCCGTTAAGCTATCGGGTATGACACGAAAACGACACGAACACGAGAAACACGACACGAATGCCAGGTCTAACTGGGATTGCAGGACGTTTCCAGGAATGAGGTGGATTCTCTCCGTTCCTGTTTTTATTCTTTTTCATTTCCTTTTCTTACTATTATTTTTTATCTTATTATTTTTATAAAAAAAATAAATATAAAATGTTGACGTAACTCAACTATGATTGTTCAAATATGAAAGCATCGAAGAATAAAGAGATTAAGAAGATAAAGAATCATCCTCCTTCCAATAAAACGATGCGGTAGAATAATTGAAGGCCGTCAGCTTTTTCCCAACCCTTTTTTATGGATGTATTTTTTCTCAATATCTTCAAGTGATGTTATGGAGACTCGCTAATCTCCACCGATTCACTAAACACGCAAGGATTATTTTAGAATGCGTTGTAATATATGGGTCCCACTAATAAAATATAAAAAAAATGAAGGTTAGAATTGAAAAACTGTATCTTCTGCCGTTTCCTTCCTCTGTGTCTTCGTCACCTCTCAAATTATAAATTTTATTAGATTAGATATTAAATTAGTTATTGTCAGAGTTCGACTCATGCCATCATTCTTTTCTCTAATTGAACTCTTGAAGTATTTTTGTATAAAACTATAAGTATATTATACATTAGAATAGATAGTTGATAGGCCTAATTGGATTAATAGTATTCGTCGTGATAGGGTAGTTGAAAAGTTGCTCATGTGATGAAAAAAACTAGAATTTAAGCCCCTATGGTAAAGTCTGTTAGGATTTATACCCAAAATTAAAAATTTTGTCAACTTTCTGTTAATTATTAGCGCGTACCGCACATATTAGGCTAAAACGGAACTCTCCATACACATATTAAGCTAAAACAGACGTGCTAATAATTAACAGAAAGTTGACGAAATTTTCAATTTTGGACATAAATCATAACAGACTTTACCACAAGGGTTTAAATCCTAGTTTTATTTTTTTACTACAAAAGTTATCTTCCAACTACCATATCACCATGAAGACTATTAATCCAATTAAACCTAGTTGATATTTCCAACAAAAAGAGAGATGATTTTATTAATCAACATTGAAGGTTTGCATATTCTATGCAGGCATAAGGGAATTATACTATAGTCTCCTCAAAAAAAATTCTCAGCTCTATCATTTTTCGTTTACCTATAATTCACATGAACGAGATTAATTTATTAGGGGATACATGATACACATAAATGAGATAAATTCATAAGTGCATTAAACATTACATAGCCATTGTACAATTTAAATTTAAGAAAAGAAAATTATACTTACAAGACATGAAAAGTTTATTAATTAACGTTGAAATTTTTGTGCATATTCTATGGAAAAAAAAATAAGGAAATTATACTATCATCCCTTCATAAGAAATTCTCAACTCTGTCATTTTTTGTAAATTCGTGATACACTCTAAATGGGATGGATTCTTCAATAAACTTTTGATACACATAACTGAGACATATTAATAAGTTTATTAAAAATGATGAAGCTCACGTGAGTAGGCTAGAATACAATTTTCTTGTGTTTTCATAGCATATGCACAAAAAATTAATGTTGAAAAATAAGTTTTTATTTATTTTTTTTTTTATGTATATAAGTATAATATTTTTTTTCATCTTCTAGTACAAGTTTTGTACATATTTTACAATTTCAAAAAAAAAAAATAATTGCATTAAGCGTATGAAATTTTTTCACAAGAAATTCCTAACGTTGTCATTTATCGTTAACCCATTATTCACGCAATTGAGTTTAATTGAGTGTTTGTTCAACATTTTGTTTTTTCTTTACCATTTCTCCGAACCGCTCTGGAATCATGAAAAGAGAAAAGACCAAATGGTGGTTGCGTGCTATTTCAACTTTTTGTTTTCTCTGCTCCTTTGAACACACTTTCATTTATTACGATTTGATAGTATTATTTTATATTTTAAATATTTATTTAATTTAAACTATAAAGAAGGCAGGCTACCGTATATTACAAGTTTTTTTTTGAGAACTTGTAGATGGGGTTTTAGCATCTTTTTTGGATTTTACAAATCGTTCAACAAGAATAATTGCAAAGAAGATGATCCTTGAATGAAATATTTGATAGAAAATGTGACGGAACCTAGGTATCTTCATGATAACTTTTTTATTGGATTTGAACCAATGACTCTCGCCGTATGAAAGCGATACTCTAACCGCTGAGTCAAGTAGGTCAAGCTGAGTCAAGTCAGAGAAAATAGACCCATATAAGAGAAAGCCGTGCAACCTGAATTCCCCTTACTATTGGGCTGTTCACTTCATTGATTTACTTAACTTTACTTAAGATTAAAGATAGGGGCCGGGCGGGCTGCCGCGGGCGCCAGCACCGGCTGAAGTTCCCCACCCCGCTCCCGAAGAAGTATTCAAATCATTCACTCCTTTCCCTTTAGGAAAGCTTTACTTTATTCTTTCTTTATATACTTACTATATTGCAAGTTGCAAAATTCAAACTTAGATATTGGTCTAGCGAAGAAAACGATCATTATTAACTTTCAAAATTAGAATAACGCGTCTATAATAGTTAATTGAAATTTATAAAATTATTTACATAAAATGAGTGTAGCAGAGAAGAAAATACTTTGTTGGATGTGTGGGCACACGAGAAATGATAAGATTGGTAATGAGGATATTCAAGGTAAAGTAGGGGTAGTCAAAATTGAAGAAAAGATGAGAGAAAATCAGTTACGGTGATTTGGACATATGAAACGAAGGTCTACTGATACTCTGGTTAAAAGATGCGATTATGAAACAGAGTTTCAAGGCCGAAGAAGTAAAGAAAGACTTTGGAAAAGACTCTAAGAAAATATTTAGAGTACTTAAATATAACGAAAAATGTAATACATAATCGAGCATAATTGAGTTTTAGAATTCATATAATCGATCACACTTAGTAATAATTTTTTTTTATTGTTGTTGTTGTAGTTGCGTGTTACATCAACTTTTTGTTTTCTCCCTACAATTTCTTCGAAGTTGGGAAATGGAATGGAATCATAAACAAAGGAAAAAGGCCAAGTCTTTGTTTACTTTGTTTAGGTAGCCCACGAGGGCCACTACCCCTTTATTATTCTTATTATTGGTGTTGGTAGTTGTGGTTGTTGTCAGATCGCATTTCAAATGAATCTATACGTTTTCTTTTACTTTCTCCGGCGTGTGCGTGGGCTCAGATGTCAAGAAAGTCTTTGAACCAGCGCATACATAACCATTTCATGCAATTTACCGTAAATTCTGTCTCTTTTTATACAATTTACTGTACAATTGCCCCTGTCGCCTTCGTATCTCGTTCGTTTAGCTATATATAAACTTGTGCTAACAATATTATTTCATCAGCCAAGAAGAGATTCCGTAAGAGAAAATTGAGTTTTGAGTCGTTTTATTTTCTTAAATATGTCTGTGGCTTCAGTCGGCATGGGTACCCTGAGAACGGCATTTCAAATGCTGTTTGATGCTGTAAAATCAGTGCAGGAGGAGACTACTATGTTCAAGCACCTCCTTGGAGACATCAAATCCACACTGGAATCTCTACAGCCACTCATCCAAGAGATTGAAAAATATAACTCGAAAGAGCGACTGAAATATTTTGCAGTACAAATGGAGAAGGGAGCAGATCTTGTTCAAAAGTGCAGCAAAGTTGGCGTGTGGGGAAAATGCAAATACGCCAAGAAGCTCCATCAACTGAAAAAATCTCTTCGAAGAGTGTTTGATGCGCTCAAACTGCAGGGCGTAAGGGATGCGAGGGAGGCGTTGATTTCTCTCAGGAATATCGAGACGGCGTTCTCTCGAATAGAAAAGAATTTGGTGATGAAAAGAAATCAACCTGAAACGGTTAAATGTTCGTCTGCGGTGCCTGAACCCCCATCCGTTACAGTCGGGTTGGATTTGCCGTTGAAGGAGTTGAAGATGAAGCTCCTTAAGGATGAAAAGGTGTCGATGCTTGTGCTGACTGCTGCTGGGGGATGTGGGAAAACAACCTTGGCTAAAAAGTTTTGTCAAGATCAAGAAGTCAAAGGTATGCTATCAATGATTTCAAATTCTTTTTTTTGTGAAGTGTTAACTTCCTACATAGTTAAAAAATTATGTAGATAAGCAATTTAGTATTACAGTTAGTGGTATTTATCTTTATTGATAAATGAGAGGTCTTAAGTTTGATTCTTGTCACAAACAAATTTGAACTACATTATTGTTAGTTTATTATGAGGCTAAACCCACCCCTTAGATCAACTCCAATGGTGGGCTAAAAGCCAAATTACCCCTCAAAATTTTCCCTAAACTCACTCCAACCCAAGGGGAAATTTTGGGCTAAATGCTAAACCAAAGCCAAGTTCCCCCCAAAATTTTGCCCAGAAGTCGGAGTGGATTCCACCCAATATTTATCGGAATTTAAATTTTTTAAAATTAAAATGTTTACAAAATTAATTTACGATAGTCTACATTTTTATTTCAAAAAAAAAATTAATTTAACAAAAAAAATAGCCTAATTTCATTCTTTAATAATCCCGGGCTAAAATTTTAGGCTAGAATGGTTGGAGTAGAAAAGCTGTTTCTGGGCTAAAAACTAAATTTTTCGGACTAAAATATTTGGTTTTTAGCCCAACTATTGAAGATGGTCTTAGTTTAGATAGATCAAAAAAAAAAAAAAACATATAGAGGATTAGACGAGCAAAAGTATGCACTATGGCCAAGACCCCTCTATAAAACGCCCGCTAGTCCCTCCAAGTTTCCACACCAACCCAAATTTGTTAAAGAGAATACAATGTAGAACGAAGGGAACATGAAACTAAACCGTGTGAAAGCATAGAGCCGGTCCTTAAGGTAGTCCGTGCAGGCGCAGCCTAGGGCCCACTTTGGAAGGATCCCTAAAAATTTTATATTTCATGTAAGTAACATATAAAGAAAAAGTAAAAAAATATCATAATTCATTTGTTAGTGTAGTAAAATTTTTTTTTCAATTTCCCATTTCTCCATTTCTATAGAATGTTTAAATCAATTATCACATGGTCTTGAAGATTGTATTTTAAAGTAATAAAAACTTTGAATTTATATTTTGGTTTTCAATAATTTATTATTCAATGAAGTATTTCAATAGCCGATTCATTAGTATGATGTTGTAGTAAAAACAAAAGAGAAACAATTGACGTTGTTGAATTTATTATACTCGTCAATCAAGTTTTATTGTTCTTTATTCTCCTGATCATCAAGTTTTATTATTCTTCAGTCTCAATCTTAGACTCTTGACTGTAAACATTTAGTATATTTGCGTCTAAAAACATGAGACGTGTAATATTTAAATAATGTTTGTATATTTATCTTCTTTTGATATTAATTTTTAGGGGCCTTTAGATCTAGGTCCAAAAACATAGATGGTTGTTAAGAATGGATCCAGTTATCTAATTACATGCTTTTATTTTTTTATATACTCATTTTATATTTTCTAAAAATATTAACAATCAATTAAAATCTTCTAATATTATGTATTTTCCAGCTCCAAAAAATCTAATTAATATCTTATAACAAAAAAACTAACATACTAAAATAAATCTATTTGCTAAACATTGTACCTTAACTCAAGTAACAAATATATGAAGAGTGTTGATATTCTCCCGCGGTGTCTTATTTCCTGACCCACCATTTAATAAAAATGTTAATGACATGTTTAACCTATTAAATGAAGACTTTTAACCCTATTTAATTAATTACTAAAATATTAAAAAAAACATAATTTAAAATAATAAATAAATAATCATGGATGGTGTGTGATATCTGCGGTGAAAGAAAGGCTGGGAAAGATTTGGGCTACAATCGGCAGAAAGGTTGGAGGAAGGAACAAGTGTGTGCTAGATGGAGGCGAGAAACTTCAATGGAGTCTCTGCGGTGTGGTGATAGGTGTGAGTATTGGGGTTTGACGCAGGGGTATGGAATATCAGTGAAAATATAGGGTGGGGATCTAGAAAGAGATCCGGGTGGCAGATTTGAGTTGGAAGAGATATTGCGAAAGCAATGTGATGATTTTAATGACATGTGTGATTTGAAGGAGATGATGAATGTCCAAGTCTTGCATTTTTTTTTCTTTAGTTTTCCGTTTTTATTTATTTAAATATTATTTAAAGATATATTAGAGTTATTTAAAACAAAACATATTAGGGTTATTTTGAGATTAATGGTGGGTGGGAAAATAGGACACTGGTTGGGATTGTGATTTTTTTGAATGTATATTATGCTTATAAGCGAGATATGAAACCTAACTAAAAGGTTTAAGAAAAAAAATATACATACAAACAAGACACATTAGTTTGTGACAGGTTGATTATAAAAAAGAATCTTTCATATAAGTAGATAAATATAATTAATCTGTGATATAGGTTGGTTATAAAAATTAAAAATAAAATTTATAAATGGGGTTTAAAGTAGAAGGAAAAACAATAAATAACAAAAAAATAAAAATAAATAAAAAAAGAAATAATCGAAGAGATAATTGGGAAGAAATTTGATTTTTATAATAAATCTTATCATTGAAGAGATAATTATTGATAATTAAATAATTAAATATAAGGAATTGGACTTATTTTAATAAATTGGACTAATCTTGCTTATCTAAAAAAATTAGACTTATATCAAGTTTCCCTGACTTTTAATGATATTTGATGTAGAAATAATTTTTTTATGTATTTAGCGAATTCTTTTTTGTACATATGAAGAATCGGGGGCCAAAGAACTTTAGGGTCCCACTTTGAAGGCTCGTCTAAGGCCCCCAAAATCTCAGGGTCAGCTTATGAAAACAAATTAAGAAAGTTCATAAATTCTTCTACATATAGCTTCATCTCAGGGCACAAATCTTGCAATGAGCTCTTGCTTGACTAATTGATTACTTGATCTGAGAATTGCAGACATATCTAGTCAACCTTTTTATTAACCTCCGACATTCTGTTTGGATAGATACATTCAAGAACAACATCTTCTTTGTCAATGTCTCGAAAAGGCCCAACTTGGACCTTATTGTACATGAACTATATCAACTGAAGGGGTTCGAGCTGCCTGCTTTCCAAAACAAATTCATGGCAGTTAATTTGTTGCAACAATTTTTGAAGAAAGCAACAGACAATCCTCTGTTGTTTGTCCTGGATGACGTTTGGTCAGGATCAGAGTCCCTTCTTGATAAGTTTGATCAATTCAAGTTTTCAAATTACAAGATTTTGGTCACATCAAGATTTGCATTTCCGAGATTTGGTTCTCCGTACCATTTGGCATTATTGAATGATGAGGATGCAATGGCTCTTTTTCAGCATTCAGCATCCTTGGAGGATGAGAGCTCTTATACTTCCGAAGATCTTTCGAGAAAGGTGATTTCTTAGTCTGCAATGCACATACATGCTTATTTATGCCTCAGAAGAGGGTAAAGAAATAACGTTGACCGTCCACACATGTTAACACTTCCATTTACCGTCTCACAATAACAATTTTATCATCTTTACTGAAACATTTAGATGATTTACAACAATTTAATCAGATAATAACTGAATTCATTCGGGATAATTAAATTGCAGATTATGAAGCGCTGTGAGGGATGGCCACTTGCCATTGCATTGGTCGGGTGGTCACTTCGTGGCCAGCCTAAAGAAATCTGGCAGAAAAAAATACTGGAATGGAGCAAACGTTCTTCCATTCTTGATACTGAAAAGGATTCGCTTGCTGATTGGATTAAAAGCACACCACAAAGTAGCACATAAATATCCTATTAATTTTCCTTATTAACAATAATGTTTGCCAATAGTAGCATATGAAAATAAGGGTCTTTCCCGCATAAGATTGTTTTATCTAACTACTTAAAATGTCACAAAAACTGGGCTGCTGTCCCTACTGACCAGCCACCGAAAAATAATTATTAGACTCACTTACACTTATCTAAAGTCTACAAAATTTTATATGCAGATACTAAACACACAGAGCTACACTCACACAAATTTTTGGGATTTTTGGAGTTGATTTGCTATTTAAATTAAATCGAACAAAAACAGAACAGAGACAGATTTTTGAGTAGTTCACAAATTAAGAAAAACAAGTTAGGGGAATTGCTATCCACCACCAAATAATCATGCAAACATGTTATGTTTCATTCAAATTCCTTTCATTTTCGGATGAAGATGCTCAAGTTGGCTCAATGTTAGAACCCAACCTATTACTCTTTCTTATGTAGTATGTTAAGAGAATGGCGTTTTCAACTTAACTTAGTCCCTAACATGCAATCTACAATGGTGTGTTCATAGATTTAACAAGTAGAAATCATTAAGAACGAAAAGAGTTTGAGTTATCACAAGGCATCGTAAGTACTAGCGTTGTCTTACTTATCCTAGAAATTGATTCACATGTTAATCGCAATTAACAAGTACTTCTCTAGAACATATGTAGGTCCTCATTCAACAAGGGCAGGCACACACATATTCATAGCATTAGAATCCTAGATATGCTTACTAAGTATGCATCCGTAGAAAACACAAAAAGCATTCATCAATGAGACAAGTAGTGAACCAATTTTCATCCATTCGTAAAAGTAATTCAAACGAAATGTCATACCAAACTTGCAATCATATTTGGGGCTTCAAAACAGCCCCTAATTACTAAAAATTAGTTACACATAATTCTCAAATTAAACCAAAAGAAAGACATGAGTTTGAGAAGATAAAACCGAGAGAAGAGAATGCCAAGATTTCCTCATTTTCCTTCCTTCCCCAACTCAGCAGCCTTGCCTTTTTCCCTTGCTTAGCTTCTTTTCTCTCTCTTTTTTTTTCACACTTTTTCACCCTTTTTGTTGCTGCAACCTATATGTCTTTTCTTCTTTTCTGCTGCCACAGTTTTTTCTCCACAACTCACCCCACCAACAGCCATTTAGTGATGACAATAAGTGGGAGGAAATGCTAAAACAATTGTAACTCTTTGGGCAGCCTTTATGCCCATTACTCTCACTTAATTTTTCATTTCCTCTTATATTTGAATAGGTGTTAGCTGGCTTGTTCTTGGCTGCATCAGTTTTGGCTGTTAGTTTTATGGGATTTATTGCTTTCAATGCTTTCTTGTCAGTTACAAACTGCTCAGCCTCCTGGGAACCTTTTAGTGTTAGAATGACCATAACTTTTTCTAGAAAAATGATATTAACAATCCGCGAAATGCTCCAGAAAATATACATCCGTAGCTTTCCAAGCATATAAGGATCATTCTCTAATTCATTCTGAGCTGTCCGCAACTTGCTTCCAAAGTCAACTGACCTACACAGGTAGTTTTGACGAATTTATTACTTAAAATTCCACTTGTGTTATTTTTCTTTTCTTTACTTGACAAATCCTACAAAACACAAAAACAAAGTAAATAACTCAAAAATATAAGGAACTAACTAAGAAAAGACATGTGAATTTGATATAATATATATATATATATATATATATATAAATATAAGCTTATCAAATACCCCCACACTTAGCTTTTGCTAGTCCTCGAGCAAAACAAAGAAAACATGAAAAAGTAGCAACATGAAAAACATTAGCTCCCCACTATGTGACCCTCATAGAATTTCATTCAAGAAAACAAATCATCAAGAACCTTAGCTAGCATCAAACAAGCTAATCCAAGCTCATCTTCCTTATGCAAATGTTAACAACTACTTTTTAATCATCCTTGAAGTGTAGTGTGTGTAATAGCCATGCTAATGCAATTTCAAGTTTTGTTTTAAAACACTACATGCAAACTAGTGACCTTCTCACGGGACATACACTTAATCACACATATGTTTAGTTTATCGTGTTTCGCTCAAAGAATCAAATGTGAAAGATCTACCATAAGCTTGCATAAAGATCTCATCTCCACAATCATAATTGCAAAACTAAAATCAAGAGGACTTTTATTGGTTGTAATGAGGCTTAGGGAGAGGATTATAGAAATGAAAGGATAGGTAAACACAAGTTCCAAGCTACATTGCAAGCAATTCTCTTGTTGAGATTTATAAGAACTCAAGCTCTCCAACCACTCTACTAATACCTCCAATCACACCCCTAAACTTTTTATTTGCTTTGTATACAATTTTTTTTTTTCTTTCTTCTTCTTTTTTTTATTTTTATTTTTATTTTTATTTTTTTTTGAGCCAATTTTGCACATAACTAAATACAAACATGAAATACCCCCACACTTATTCTTTTGCCAAACTCCTTCAAAGTACTTCACAAACATTTCTCATAAGACAATTTCACATTGCTCACTAGCTAGCTTGGAAAGGGTAAGGAAAAATGTTTAAGGTATAAGGGCAGACATATCTGGTGATAAGAAATAAAAGGCTTAACATATACGGCTCAAATTGGCAATCTAATGATATCATTTTTCTTTAGGAAACATGCTTATTTGGGCCATGGTGATAAACCTAATGCCTCTATCCTTTTCAAGTTCATGCAATCAATGACAAACATTTCGAAAGATCGTTTCGCAAGTTCTAGAGATGTAATCCACATAAGTTCATCACACATGAAAGAATATGAGTGTATGAAAAATGCACACACTTTCAATAGGCTCAAAAACTCACATAGGTTGTATATGGTCACTATGTTCACATACGAAGCTTTAAATCATGCTTTAGTTTCACATCAACAAGGCTATGTGCTTTTGGTTTTTCAAAGATGATTAAACATGTACAAGGCTAACAAGAGAATAAGGAATTTCACACAATACATGCTTACTAAGTTCTTGATCACCGTGGTTCAAATTCAATCCAGTTATATCATTGGGTCAGGAAACTAACAAAAAACTAATTCAAAACAATAAATAAAACAAGACTATTTTTTTGGATTTTCAAATTTTCAGAATGTTTTTCCTTTTTTTTTTTTTTGGGTAAACAAAACTAATTAAGAAAACAAAAAGCAACAACAAGGAAACAAATTAAACCAGTTCTTAGTCAAAGGGACGAAAATTTTCAATTTGGTCATTTTTTCAATCCTTACCCCTAAACTTAAACTGGACATTGTCTCCAATGTCATAAAACACAATAATGCATAAAATAAAAATAAAATAAAATAGTAAGAAACAAAATAAAGCATTTGGACTAAAAACTTCCCCAATTTGTGGTAAAAGCAAACGATGACCCCCAAACTTCAATTCTGCAATTAACTCCAAGGGTGGACATAACCAAATCATTCCTACAAAGAAAAGAAATAATTCAGCTTAGCACGCAAGAAAACTCAGAAAACAAAACAAACGAAAAATTGAAAATGACATAAAAAGACAATGAATAGAAATATTGGGTTGCCTCCCAATAAGCGCTTGCTTTTACGTCCGCAGCTGAACGGTACCAAGAGTAATCATTCAAGGGAAGCTAGTTCTTAGAGGGGTACAACCTCCACATCATGCTCCGCAAAAGACTCGTAATATGGTTTGAGTCTATGTCCATTCACTTTGAATACGTTTCTAGTCTTTGCACTTTGGATTTCCACTGCACTATGAGGAAAAATATTAGTTATAACAAACGGACCAACCCATCGAGAACGAAGCTTACCTGGAAATAACCGAAGGTGAGAATTAAATAGAAGAACTTTTTGTCCAATGGCAAAGCTCTTCCTTGATATCATCTTGTCATGAAATGCCTTTGATTTCTCCTTGTATATTCGACTAGACTCGTATGCATCATTCCTGATTTCATGTAACTCATTCAATTGAAGCTTTCTCTACTGTCCAGCAACACTATGTCCATGTTGTAGGCTTTGATCGCCCAATAAGCTTTGTGTTCTAATTCTACTAGAAGACGGCATGGTTTCCCATAAACTAATCGAAATGGGGACATTCCAATAGGAGTCTTATAAGCAGTCCTATAAGCCCACAATGCATCGTTCAAGCAAATGCTCCAATCCTTCCTACTAGGACTCACAGTTTTCTCCAAAATTTGTTTCACCTCACGGTTTAATACTTCTGCTTGACCACTAGTTTGCGGATGATAAGGTGTAGACACCTTATGTGTGACATTGTACTTCCTAAGCAACGCTTCAAATGTTCTATTGCAAAAGTGACTCCCTCCATCGCTAATGATTGCTCTAGGTGTCCCAAATCTTGCAAAGATGTTAGTCTTAATAAAATCTGAAATAATTTTTGAATCATTAGTTTTTGTGGCTTTCGCTTCGACCCATTTAGAAACATAATCCACAGCCAATAAAATGTAAAGAAAACTATTTGAAGATGGAAAAGGTCCCATGAAATCAATGCCCCACACATCAAAGATCTCAACAATCAAAATAGAGGTTCGTGGCATTTGATTTCTTAGGCCCAAGTTACCTGTTCGTTGACAAAGATCACATGTTGCACAAAACTCGTACGCATCCTTAAACAAACTAGGCCAATAAAAACCACTCTCTAATGCCTTAAGGGCTGTCCTCTTTGCTCCAAAATGGCCGCCACATGCATAAGAATGACAAAAAGTTAGAATAGATTTAAACTCAGATTCAGGGACGCATCTTCTAATCAATTGATCAGGGCAATATTTCCACAAATAAGGATCATCCCACTCGTAGTATTTGGCAGTTTTGACAAGCTTATCTTTCTGAGCATGTGTAAAATCATCCGGAAATTTTTTTGTGACCTTGTAATTGATAATATCTGCATACCAAGGGTCAGTAACCTTTAATGAAAACAATTGCTTATCAGGAAAACTCTCACATAAAGGGATGAAATATTCCTCTATGTTTAAGTGCACAAGTCTGCTAAGATGATCTGCTACAACATTCTCACTCCCTTTCTTATCCTTGATCTCTAAGTCAAACTCTTGAAGTAGAAGTATTCATCGAATGAGTCGCGGTTTTGCATCTTTTTTTGTGAGTAAATACTTCAAAGCTACATGGTCAGAAAACACAATAACTTTAGTTCCAATAAGATAAGATCTAAATTTTTCTAAAGCAAATACAACAGCTAGAAGCTTCTTCTCTGTTGTTGAATAATTCAACTGTGCATCATTGAGTGTTCGTGATGCATAATAGATAACATGTGGCACTTTGTTGACACGCTGTCCTAGAACTGCACCGACAGCATAATCTAAAGCATCGCACATTAACTCAAAAGGTAAACTCCAATCTGGTGGCATGATCACAGGAGCCGTGGATAACAACTCCTTAAGTTTGTAGAATGCTACCACACACTCTTCATTCATATCAAATGTTACATCCTTTTGAAGCAAACGACACAAGGGTCTAGAAATCATTGAGAAGTCTTTCATAAACCTACGATAGAAACCTGCATGTCCAAGAAAAGAACGAACCTCCTTGACAGTAGTAGGGAGAGGTAAAGAACTAACAAGTTCTATCAACTTCAATTCCATTTTCAGATATGATATGCCCTAAAACTAATCCATGCGAAACCATGAAATGACATTTTTCCCAATTTAAGACCAAATTAGTTTCTTGACAACGTTTTAAAACTAAGGACAGATTATGTAGACATGTATCAAAAGAATCACCATAAACTGAAAAATCATCCATGAACACTTCAATTATTTTCTCAATCATATCAGAAAAGATACTTACCATACACCTTTGAAATGTGGCGGGGGCGTTGCAAAGTCCAAACGGCATCCTCCGGTATGCAAATGTGCCAAATGGACATGTGAAAGTCGTCTTTTCTTGATCCTCCGGAGCAACTGCAATTTGATTATATCCAGAATAGCCATCAAGAAAGCAATAATGAGAATGATCAGCTAACCTTTCTAACATTTGATCAATGAATGGAACTGGAAAGTGATCCTTGCGTGTGGTGCTGTTTATCTTCCGATAGTCTGTACAGACTCTCCAACTATTTTGCACACGTGTAGGCACTAGCTCACTAGCTTCATTCTTAACAACTGTGACTCCAGATCGCTTTGGAACTACTTGAACAGGGCTTACCCACTTGCTGTCCAAGATAAGATATATGATGCCAACATCAAGAAGCTTGATAACCTCTTTCTTGACGACCTCTATCATGAGTGGGTTCAAACGGCGTTGAGCTTCCCTTGTAGGTTTTGCACCTTCCTCCAGCAAAATCCTATGCATACATGTAGCTGGATTTATACCTTTGATATCTGCAATGCTCCAAGCTATGGCAGTTTTGTGATCCTTCAATACCCGGATCAGTTTCTCCCTTTCTTCTACTGTGAGTTGTGATGATATGATAACCGGTAATGTTTCATCCTCTCCCAAAAATGCATACTTCAAATGTTCAGGAATCGGTTTAAGCTCCAATTTTGGTGCCTGAATCACAGAAGGAAGAATTTTTTTGTTAGAAGTAGGAAAAGAAATAAAATAGGAAGAAAACTTACCACGAATTGGTGAAAGAGACTCAAGGGTTGCCACTGTATGGATTAATTCTTCTTCAATGTGCTCAGAATAATTAAGTTTTCCATGTGTAATGCTATGCACTAACGCCTTCTCTAAATGGTCTTGTCCCACACCTTCATTAAAATAACCTTGCACAAAATAGTCAAACGCATCAATAGACAAACAAGATTCAAAATCACTAGGGTACCTCATAGCATCGAAGATTTTGAACTTGACGCTTTCTCCATCAATTTCCATGGTTAAAATACCATCGTAGACATCAATCTTCGTACGCGCCGTTCTAAGGAATGGTCTTCCCAATACAAGAGGAAGTGCAGTAGGCATAGGGTCATGTTCCATCTCAAGAACAAAAAAATCAGCGGGAAAAATAAGTTCATTCACTTGCACAAGTACATCCTCCAATAGGCCTTTGGGATATCTATTTGAACGATCTGCCAACTGGATTACTACCTTTGTTTCCTTTAAGTCTCCAAGGTTTAATGATTCATACATTGAATATGGCATCAGATTAATGGATGCCCCCAGATCACACAATGCTCTCCCAAACTCTTTCCCTCCAATTACACATGGAATGGTAAAGCTACCGGCATCCTTCAACTTCGGTGGTAGCTTTCTCTGCAAAACAGCTGATACTTCCTCGCTTAATGCCACAGTTTCTTGATCATTGAATCTTCTCTTGTTCGTACAAAGCTCTTTAAGGAACTTTACATACTTGGGCATTTGTTTTATGGCATCTAAAAGAGGTAAGTTCACTTGGACTTTTCGGAAAGTATCCAAGATTTCCTTATCAGTTTGCTCTTTCTTAGACTTCATAAACCTACGAGGAAAAGGAATAGGGACACATGAGTTAAATGAATTTTGAACTTCTTTACTTACCTTATCAGAATCTTTTTTGTTCAATTCTGTATCTTTAGGAGACTTTTTAGTTTCTATTGAAGCCTCATCTTGCTCAAGATTTTTGGTTTGTTGCTCCCCTTGCTCATTTGTATCTTTTGTAGTCCTCTTTTGCATCCTTGGCTGCTCAAAAACTTCTTTTCCACTCTTTAAAGTCACAACATTCATCTGCTCCGCATTTGGATTCACCACGGCTTGGCTAGGCAACCTTCCTGGTTGGTGTTGTTGCCCCATCAAACTTGCCAACTGACTCATTTGGCGCTCAAGGTTTTCAATTGCTTTGTCTGTTTTCTGTTGATGAGATTGAGTAGAGTTATCTAAAGAAGCAATTAAATCCTTAAGAGACTTACTTGGAGCTTGTTGTTGTTGAGGCTGAAATGGTGTCTGCGGTCTTGCTTGAAAGAAGCCAGGTAGACGGTTATAGTTGTTGGGAACAGATTGTTGTCCGTTGTCTTGATTGTTCCACTTTAAGTGTGGATGATCGCGCCACCCTGCGTTATAGTTGTTGGAGTATGGATCATACTTTTGTCTTTGTTGCCACTGAAACCCTCCTAACGCATTAGCTTGCTCAAGACCACCTTGATCCATTAACGAAGGGCACATATCTGTGGCATGTCCCATCATTGAACAAACACCGCACACCTGTTTTGGAGCCACCATAACCTGTTGCACAAGATTAGTCAAGTTAGCTAATTGTAATTCAATACTAGAGTTAGCACTTACCTCGTTAACTTTCTTAAGAGGTAGCTCATCTCTCCCTCCAAATTGTCGTGTGTTGCCAGCAATGTTCTTTAATAATGCCTTAGCATTTGTTGGTGTCTTGTCCATGAATGCTCCTCCACTTGCTGCATCAAGCATTACACACGATCAGTACCACACAATCCTTCATAAAAATATTGTATTAAAAGATGCTCTGAAATTTGATGATTAAGACAAGATGCAACCAAATGTGTGAATCGCTTGTAGTAATCTCCAAAGGGCTCTCCATATTGTTGTCGGATTGCACATATGTCTTTCCTTATGCTTGCAGCTTTTGTGGCCGGAAAATATTGCTCCAAGAATGCTTGCTTCACCTGGTTCCATGTGTTCATTGATCCCGGAGGTAAATTGTAAAGCCACTCCTTTGCCTTAGCTTCTAATGTAAATGGGAATGCCCTCAACTTGACTTGCTCCTCATCCACATTGGTTGGTCTCATTCCCGAGCATACCACATGAAACTCCATGAGATGCTTGTTGGCATCCTCTGTTGAGAAGCCATAGAACTTAGGCAAGTAGTGAACCTTGCTGGACTTAAGCTCAAATCCTCCTTCTGCATTTGGATATGTGATGCACAATGGTTGTTGATCCGTATTAGGCGTTGCCAACTCCCTCAAAGTCCGGTTATCAGCCATGCCTTCTTGTGGTTCTTCCTCCTCTTCCGAACTCAAATGTCGTGGAGAAGATGGTGGTAAAGACATCGATGCACGCTTCTGCTTGATTCTTCCTCGAAGCTTTCGAAATGTTCGTTCAACCTCAGGATCGTAGGAAGCTAGATCAATGCTCTTGGACCTTCAAGTATGCATATACTACGAAGAGTACCTGAAATAAAAATAAAAACAAAAACACTAATTAGACAAGAAAAGAAAACAATAAAAAAAAAAAGTAATTAGAAATAACAATCCCCGGCGACACGGCGCCAAAAATTTGATAGGATTAAAACACACCACAAAGTAGCACACAAATGCCCTATTAATTTTCCTTATTAACAATAATATTTGTCAATTGTAGCATATGAAAATAAGGGTCTTTCCCGCATAAGATTGTTTTATCTAACTACTTAAAATGTCACAAAAACTGGGCTGCTGTCCCTACTGACCAGCCACCGAAAAATAATTATTAGACTCACTTACATTTATCTAAAGTCTACAAAATTTTATATGCAGATACTAGACACACAGAACTACACTCACACAAATTTTTGGGATTTTTGGAGTTGATTTGCTATTTAAATTAAATCGAACAAAAACAGAACAGAGACAGATTTTTGAGTAGTTCACAAATTAAGAAAAACGAGTTAGGGGAATTGCTATCCACCACCAAATGATCACGCAAACATGTTATGTTTCATTCAAATTCCTTTCATTTTCGGATGAAGATGCTCAAGTTGGCTCAATGTTAGAACCCAACCTATTACTCTTTCTTATGTAGTATGTTAAGAGAATGGCGTTTTCAACTTAACTTAGTCCCTAACATGCAATCTACAATGGTGTGTTCATAGATTTAACAAGTAGAAATCATTAAGAACAAAAAGAGTTTGAGTCATCACAAGGTATCGTAAGTACTGGCGTTGTCTTACTTATCCTAGAAATTGATTCACATGTTAATCGCAATTAACAAGTACTACTCTTGAACATATGTAGGTCCTCATTCAACAAGGGCAGGCACACACATATTCATAGCATTAGAATCCTAGATATGCTTACTAAGTATGCATCCGTAGAAAACACAAAAAGAATTCATCAATGTGACAAGTAGTGAACCAATTTTCATCCATTCGTAAAAGTAATTCAAACGAAATGTCATAACAAACTTGCAATCATATTCGGGGCTTCAAAACAGCCCCTAACTACTAAAAATTAGTTACACATAATTCTCAAATTAAACCAAAAGAAAGACATGAGTTTGAGAAGATAAAATCGAGAGAAGAGAATGCCAAGATTTCCTCCTTCTTTTCCTTCCTTCCCCAACGCAGCAGCCTTGCCTTTTCCCTTGCTTAGCTTCTTTTCTTTCTCTCTCTTTTTTACACTTTTTCTCCCTTTTTGTTGCTGCAACCTATACGTCTTTTCTTCTTTTCTACTGCCACAGTTTTTTCTCCATAACTCACCCCACCAACAGCCATTTAGTGATGACAATAAGTGGGAGGAAATGTTAAAACAATTGTAACTCTTTGGGCAGCCTTTATGCCCATTACTCTCACTTAATTTTTCATTTCCTCTTATATTTGAATAGGTGTTAGCTGGCTTATTCTTGGCTGCATCAGTTTTGGCTGTTAGTTTTATGGGATTTATTGCTTTCAATGCTTTCTTGTCAGTTACAAACTGCTCAGCCTCCTGGAAACCTTTTAGTGTTAGAACGACCATAACTTTTTCTAGAAAAATGATATTAACAATCCGCGAAATGCTCCAGAAAATAGACATCCGTAGCTTTCCAAGCATATAAGGATCATTCTCTAATTCATTCTGAGCTGTCCGAAACTTGCTTCCAAAGTCAGTTGACCTGCACAGGCAGTTTTGACGAATTTATTACTTAAAATTCCACTTGTGTTATTTTTCTTTTCTTTACTTGACAAATCCTACAAAACACAAAAACAAAGTAAATAACTCAAAAATATAAGGAACTAACTAAGAAAAGACAAGTGAATTTGATATAATATACATATAAATATAAGCTTATCACTTGCTTGCCTCCAGAGCAGCTTAGATGCCTTGGATAAAGAAAAGACTATGATCAAGGAGTGTTTCCTCGACCTAGGTTCATTTCCCGAGGACGAAAGAATCTCTGCTGCCACCCTCATTGACATGTGGGCGGAGTTATATGGTCTAGATGAAGAAATTCTGACCATTGCCAACCTTCACGGGCTCACCACCCGAAGTTTGGCGAATCTTGTTGTCGCAAGGTATGCACGCTGCTCATAATTTTCTATTCCAATATGTATACCGAACAAATCATGAAAGAAATTAGTATTGATCATCCAGGCACGAGAGGGAGGCGGATGGCTATTACACCGAACACTTCGTCACCCAGCATGACATGCTTAGGGACTTGGCGATCCATCAGGTGATTCAAGACCCAATAGAACAGAGGAAAAGGCTAGTTATAAACATATGTGGGGACAACCGTCCTAAGTGGTTGACAAAACAAAAGTATCAAGCGTCCAAGGCTCGACTATTATCTATCTCAACAGGTTCCATCAATCTCTATAGTAAATACGTCATCGTTATATATATAGTAAATACTTATACATGCACACAAGTATGTGCACACGGACATGCTTGTGTGCACACACACTCGCTCATTCATAGTAAGACCTCAATAGGACTTCGGACATACTTACATCTTAAAGCTTATGGTTTGCAGATGGAGCCTTCTCAGCAAAATGGCCAAACATGCAAGTACCCGAAGCAGAGGTTCTAGTTCTGAATTTTCAAACAAAGAACTATGCCTTACCTCAGTTCGTGGAGAAAATGGATAAACTAAAGGTTCTAATAATAACAAATTACGGTTTGTCACCTGCTGGACTAGATAATTTTGAACTACTTGCTTCGTTATCAAATCTTAAGAGAATTAGATTAGAACGTATTTCAATTCCCTCCATAAGCAAGGTCCTCAAACCTTTGAAAAGTCTGCAAAAGATATCATTTTTCAAGTGTGATATCGGTCAAGGTTTCAACGACTGTTCCATTTCAATCTCATCAGCATTTCCAAATCTAGAAGAAATGAACATCGACTATTGCAGTGATTTAATTGAATTGCCTGCCAGACTTTGTGATCTTAGTAAACTAAAGAAGCTCAGTATCACTAACTGTCATAAGCTATCTGCCTTGCCCGAAGGGATTGGAAAGTTGGAAAATTTAGAAATGCTGAGGCTAAGATCCTGCACAGAACTGTCGAAGCTCCCAACCTCAATGAAGAACCTTGGAAAGTTAAAATTTCTTGATAATCTGATTGCTTTGGCATAAAGGTGTTGCCCAAAGACATTGGTGAAATGAGTAGTTTAAGAAAGATCAATATGAGACAATGCTCAAGGTTGCAAGAGCTGCCTCCATCAGTCATGGATCTTGAGCAGTTAGAGGAAGTGGTCTGTGATGAACAGACAAAATATTTATGGGAATCTTTCTTGTCGTGTCTCAACAACCTAAGGATAATTGTGGCCAAAGAGAATATCAACCTAAATTGGCTCCAAAAGACTCAGTTCTGACACATGTTTCCTCAATGAACGTTGCTCTTAAATCTCTGTGTGGTTTGCGTTTTTTATGGGGCTTTTTATACTATGATGTTTAGAGACCTTAGCTACTGTCCAGAAAAATGGTTTGGTAGGAAACAAAGAGAATGTTGTGATTCAAAATCAAGACGGATTTCATGATTGGGGTCAATTCCTGAACCTCCAATGTTACAGCTGGATTGGATGAGCCTTTGAGGGAGTTGAAGAAGATGGGAAAACCACATTGGCAATGAAATTATGTCAAGATGAGGAAGTCAAAGGTATGATAATACTTTCTAATTGCTTTTTATATTCTGAAATTCCTTATCCCCACTGAGGAAAGAGCTAACCTAACCAGAAGAGTTATAGTAGAATTAATCTGCAATTTTGACATCTTTTACTCTCAATTAGTACTAGTAGTATGCTATAGATGTCGTTCATTGAGTTGAAGCCTTTTGTACACTTAACAGCTTAGGTTATATATAACATCAAAGTTAATCCACAAATGTAATATTTCAAAGGCTCAAAAATCTTCTGAGAAAGATTTATTTCTCACTATGCAATCCACAACATACATACTTATCAAGTCTTCACAACAAAGTGGGGAAAAGAAATTGTTTTGATCTTTTACAGTAAGTATGCACATACAGAAGTGAACACCCATTTTACCATAAGATTTTTCTTAAGAACTAAAACTGAAATAAGAATGAAGATGAGTAGGTAGTCATTAACCATTTTCACGAAACCCTTTAGATGTTAAAAGAAACTTGAAATTTCGGTATGCAACTCAGATGGTAAGCCTGCAGATACTAAACCTTTGTAAGGGAGTTTGGCTTGCCATTACAGTGACTGGGAAATCACTTCGTGGACAAGCTGCAGAATTCTAGCGTTCAAGGCTAGCAGACTGTTGTAAAGGTTCTGTTGTTGGTTCTAAGACTGAGTTGCTTCTTTGACTTCAAAGTAGCATAGATGCCTTGGATGGCAAAGAGGCTATCATGAGGAATGTTTCAGACCTTGTTTCATTTCCTGAAGATCAAAGAATCTCTCCTGCTGCTTTCATTGATACGTGGGCAGAGTTATATAAGCTAGGTGAGGACTTTCTGTCCATTAAGAACCTCCACGAACTCACCACCAGAGGTCTGGCACATCTTGTGATCACTAGGAACGCAAGCTTTTATGTTTCTCCTGTATAATATTCTCATTGAACATGTCTATATTCATGTGTAACTCCTCCCATAATATACAACTGTAAGTCCGCAACTGACTGAGTTTGGATTGTTACCAGGAAGGAGAACATAGAGATTCTGGATGACTACGACATCAAATACTTTGTTAGCCAGCTTGATATGCTTGGAAAGCTGGCTATCCACAGAGTGAACCTAGACTTGATAGAAGATAGAAAAAGACTGATTATCGAAAGTGGACACAATCAACCCAAGTGGTTGATGGAGCAGAAGTCTCAACCCATCAATGCACGCTATCTCATCTGGTTGTCCCATCTTTCTCTTTATAAAATGCATATAGGTGCACATATGCACATCTACCTATAACCAGCACACGTACACACACACACACAGTAGATACGCATTCATGCGTGCTCACACACACACACCTACACACAGACGCACGCTAAGATTTGAATAACACTCATTTATTTTCTCCATACACTTGAACACATACACAAGCACATGTTTATGTACCCACGCAAGTGCACAGACACACGCTAAGATTTGCACGTAAGTTTCATTTAATTTCTGCCCTACTCATATCTGGTAGCATATTGTTTGCAGATGGAATGTTCTCAACACAATGGCAGAGTGTTCATAGGCAGAGTGTTCATCTACCACAAGTTGAGGTTCTAGTTTTGAATTTTAAGACAAAGAACAATGCCTTACCTGAATTTGTGCAGAAAGTTGACAAACTGAAGGTTCTAATAGTCACAAACTATGGTTTAAATCAGATTAGAGCGCATTTCAATTCATTCCATAGCCAAGAACTTCATTGCATTGAAGAGTAAAGAAGATATCTTTATTCATGTGTAACATGGGTCAAGCTTTCCGCAATTGTTCCATCAAAATTTCAGATGCCTGGCCAGGTATAGAGGAAATGAATATAGACTATTGCCATGATTTGGTGGAACTGCCTGCCGAGCTCTATGATCTTGTTCATATGAAGATGCACAGTATCACCAACTGTCATAAGCTATCTGCCTTGCCTGAAGAGATCGGAAAGCTGGAGAATTTTGAAGTATTGAGACTAAGGTCCTGTACAGACTTGGTAAGGCTTCTGGTCTCTATTGAGAACCTCACTAAGTTGTGCCATCTTGACATGTATAATTTTTTCGGCATTAAGAAATTGACTGAAGGCATTGGTCATATGAGCGGTTTAAGAAAGATCAACATGGGACAACGCTCAAGATTGGAAGAGTTTCCTCTGTCAGTGTGGGATCTTCACGAGCAGTCAGAGGAAGTGATTTGTGATGAAGAGAAGAAACATTTGTGGGAATCCTTCTTAGCCAGAGACAAAATCAAGGTGGCAAAAGAAAAAACCAATCTGAATTGGCTCGAAAAGCCTTAGCTGTTATACCTGTCTTTCCTCGATAAATGTTGGAGCAACGTTTTTTTGATTTGTGTTGCATTGTTTTCTTTAATTTGTATTTTCTTGTTGGATTTTTCTTGTTTGATTTCGTTTTTAGTTCTGTCTAATTTCGAAGTTTCAGTACATCAATTTGTAATACTGTTTATATCAAATTCTCCTGAGTCTTAAGAAATTATGCGTTATTTTTCCCGTGTAATTATGATGTTATGGTTTTACCCAATATAAATAATGTGTATTATATTTTCTTGGATTATACAAAAAATGTTTTTTTACTGCACCTATTATGTAAATTATGCATTTAGTTATATTGACAAGTTTTCCTTTGTTACTCACATAGATGATTATATATTGAGATATTCTAAGTTGAGGTATATAATATTTTAATTTAATGACGTTGTTATGTTGATATCGTCGTTAGATCATCTCCAACTCTTGGGTCAAAACCCAAAATTTTTAGCTCACAAAATTTATGTTTTAATCTAAAAACAGTTTTTTTACTCCAACCCTTATGAGTTAAATTTTTAGCATGAGATTATAAATGAATTTTGGCTATTTTTTTAAATAACTTTTGGAAAAAAAAAATTAAGTAGACTATCCTAATTTAATTTTATAAACATTTTAACCTAAAAAGATTTAGATTTCGATAAGTATTGAAAAAATTACTAAATCGACATCATGAAACTCATGAATACTATCAAAGAATATGAAACACACATGAAACATATATAAAACACAGGAAATACATGAAACATACGAAACACATAAAACACATACAAAACACATGATAGAGATGTATGACACATGAAACACATACAAAATACATATGAAACACATGAAACACAAACCAACACACACCATATTCTTCAATCATCCTCTTTATAAGCATAGGTTGAATACCTAACCATCACATAACATATTCACCAATCATCCATCTTTCATAGAGTTTCTGTTTTCTCAAAATTATCGAACTTTCATAGTGTTTTTGTTTCCTCAAAAATATCAATGGGTGATAGAAGAAGGTGTAACCTGGCATTGCAAATGGCAAGCAAATGTTGCAGTTGAGGAAGAAGAAATCAACAATGAAGAAATCGAATTTGCAAACTCACTTATGCAAAATGGGCAACATGCCAAATCTAGCTTTCATAGTTCTGTCACGGGCCATTCATTTCTGCAGCGTGACATAGAAGAGTGCCATGATAGGATGATAAAAGACTACTTCATCAAACGTCCGAGGTATCATCCTCATGATTTTCGGAGGCGATATCGGATGAGGAGAGAGTTTTTTAAAAGCATTTTGAATGCAGTTGTCCACTATGACCATTACATTGCAATGAAGATAGATGTTATAGGCCGATAGAGTCTCACCTCATCAGAAGCTCACATCTGCATTTTGAATGCTAGCCAATGGGTGCTTTGCAGACTCATTGACAAATATTGTTGATGTGTAGCGATCACTGCTATTGAGAACATCAACCACTTCTGTAAGGCAATTAAAATCATATATGGATAGAAAACCTCTGAAAGCCAAATCGTGAAGACTTGAAGAGACTTCTACATAAGGCAGACAAAAGAGGCTTCTCTGGCATGATAGGAAGTCTCGATTGTAAGCATTAGGAGTGGAAGAATTGTCAAATTTCTTGAGTAGGCCAATTTAAGGGCCGTCGCAACAAGACAACCATTGTGATCAAGGCTGTGACATCTTACGACACTTGGATTTGAAATGCATTCTTCAACACCTTTGGATCAAACAACGATATCAATGTTATTTGGTTTTCTCCCTATTCGAAGATATTGTCTATGGATGGCAACCAGAATGGAGGTACAAGGTAAATGGTAATAGACATGAGCTAGGTTGCTACTTAACTGATGATATTTATCCTAGCTGGTCTACCTTTTGAAAAGTTATTATCATCCCGATGGTGCAAAGATAAAATTGTTTTCGTGGAAATAAGAGTCTTACAGGAAAGATGAGAGATCGTTCGGATCCTACAAACTCGATGGGTCATTGTTAGAGAGGTTGCAAGATTCTGGAGTATGGAAGACCTCCATTCAATCATGATGACATACATAATTTTGCATAACATGATTGTTGAAGATGAGTACGTAGAAATTGAAGATTATGATGAAGATGTGGATGGCGACCAACCAATATATGCTAGAGCTATGGCAAGAGACATTGAATATCTCGTTACAACCATATATGAGACTCAAGAGGATAGGGTCGCACTAAGTGAGTACATTAGATGTCTTGCTAGAATTCAAGCTCCTCAAGTTCATGACACACTTGGAAAAGATTTGGTTGAGCATATATGGCATTGAGAAGGAGAACGGTGATTATAGACTAGCTTGTAATAAATTTAAGTATGCTAGTGTGGTTGTTTCCTTGTAATAAATTTAAGTGTGCTAGTATGTTTGTATTTCCATATATTATCTTTCTTTGTTGCAAATAGATTTTTTTTTATTTTAAATTTCAACAATTAATAAACCATAAAATTAATAAATCCTTCATTAATAAGCTACATAAAATTAATACAAACAATAATTAATAAACAACATAAAATTAATTCAAACGATAATTAATAAACTACATATAAATTAATACAACAAATACTAATCACAATAATATTGACCATCTTGACTTGCTGGTGGATTTGGTGGTGGACTTGGGATATAGGCTTGAGATGAATTATCATCTTCAAAGATACTCGTTGTGGCATTCTTTCGCATAATTTCCTTTTGCTTATCACAGGAGAACTTCGTCATATTTGGAGTCTATTTGTTGAGGTTCTCCCTCATCATATCAAAATCGAATCTTTCTTGCTCCGTTTCCGATTGCTTCTCAAAGGCCAAGCACATTTGTATTGCTTCCTCCTCCTGAAAGTCTTGGTGTCCAGACAATTTTACAACTCTGGAAGAAATCGTTGCACCAATTGGATCTTGCATCTTCCCTTTTCTCTTTACTTCTTTTTGTTTATCTCTTGCCGGGAGCCTTGGAAAAGAAGAAGTTGGGATCCTTCATTGCCAACATTTGTGCTTGTGTCTTCACTAGAAAATAAATTTTCCCCTTGTTGGTCCGCATCGGTTCCTCATCTCGGACAACTCTTGAGGACGTCCCAAGCATGATGCTACTTAAAAGTTTTTGGATGAATTTTGACTCAAATATATATTTTTTTAAAATTATTTTAGCTGTTGAATTTAAATTTGGACCGTTACATTTTTTTTTATTTTACTGTTGGATTTGATCATATTAAATCTTAGATGTTGAAATCAATGAATTTATAAATATAAAACCAAAAAATAAAATAAATTTTAAACTTGGACCGTTGGATCAACCAACAATCTAATGAATCACTATCGTTGGATGAAAGAGTCGTTGGGCTCAGTTGGGTGGACGACAGACCCACATGCACAGAATCACCTAACTGTCAATCTTTCACGCCTCACATCTCGCTCTACGCGCTCAGCCAATTTAGGTTGCATCCACGCGCATATGTGGGACCCTTTAAGGGTTGAAATGAAATGAAGAAGGAAAATACAAGATAAATTTTGAGACTTACTTCAAAAATTAGAGTGAGCCTTGTTGCAAAATTAAAATTTTTAAAATACAATCGGTGATAACTTGTCAAATATAAACCTGGTGGCCGATCGTAAGTGCAATTCTGCAAGTAGGAGGAATTGTTAAACATTAGTCATATGGAAAGGGATCCTCTCCGGATCCTTTCTTTCTAATCTATTAAGTTCGGTGATTCGGATCATTAAAATTTGAACTAATAACTACAAAGAGAAATAAACTTTATAAGTTATAATAATTTTATCTGTTGGATCGAATTTGAATAGTCCAGACTCCCGAATTTAATGGATTAATCCCTTCCCATACTGCTCATCGGCTCTCTATGCTGTTGTCGCCTTTCGAAATTTGCCTTCACAATTTACTAGGATAAGAAGCAATATTTTCTGAGAAAAATACAATTCTGGTCGCCATCTAGCTGCAATATGGTTGTTGGATTCTCTCTTTCGCTCTCACCATGAAGCTTCCCAGACATGGTGATGCGGTTTCCTGGTTAATTCCCAAGTCTCCCTCCACACTCAATCAGCTATTGCCAAAGTCAACGCGCTCCAACTCCGAAATTTCTATCGAGCTTCAAAGTAAGTACTTCTATGCCAACTCCCAGATAGTTTGTTTATCCTATCTTGCTTGATCACCAACAACGCAAGAGAATATCGATCTCTGTATGGCTTGTTTTTTGAATCTCTTTATTTTGGGTTCCAAGTTTAAAAGTGTCTCACTTTTCCACAGTTTCTAATCTGTTATTGTTTTGGGAAAGTGGGTAAAATGGTCCGAAATCAAATCCCAAATATCGAAGACATACTGAAATACTGATGATTTCAGCAGCCAATTTCCCTGTTATTTTCTGTTGTCGTAAATTTTAGATTGAAACTTTTGTAAGTTTTTCTGATTTTGGTGTTGGTTTTTGTTGTTAAGAATCAGGGAATGAGTGGAGTAGGCGACCTATTCGGAGGGGCTGGTCTCGGAACACTATTCAATGCGCTGTATGATGTCCTCAAGGAGCTGATCACCAAGAATGTAATGTTTAAGCCCCTACTCAAAAACATCAAATTAAGGTTAGACTCTTTGGAACCATTGTTGAAAGATATAGAAAAATCCAACAAGAAATTGGACCTATCGGATAAGGAACTCAGAAGATTGAAAGTACATTTGAAGGAGGGCATAGATCTCGTCCAAAAGTGCAAAAAGATTCGATGGTGGAGCGTATTATTATACAAAAGGTACAAGTACGCCAACAAGCTGATTGAATGGGATGCATCTCTTCAACGACTTTTGGACATGCTAAAAGTTCAGGGAATAAGGGATGTGAAGGACAGTGCGGTTACAGTGAGGAATATAGAGAAGGCGGTCGGCAGAATTGAATCGAATATGGTGATACCAAAACAACCCGACAATGAAGCTTGGTGTGCAGTACCTGAACTTCCGCCGCTCGTGGTTGGATTGGATTTTCCTCTAAAGGAATTGAAGAGGAAGCTTCTAAAGGACGAAAATGTGTCAATGGTTGTGCTGACTGCCCCCGGAGGATGTGGAAAAACCACTTTGGCTACAAAGT